GCGAAAAACTCCAACAATGATATTGTGAGTCCTGTCGTCTTCGATTACAGAGCTTCCTACCTACCCCTGACTACAAGGGCTCGGTCTGGTATGCTCCAAGCGCAAGAGGGTCTATTTGGAGCCCCGAGAGCTCTGCTTCGGGCCTTGCAGCCTGCATCGCCGATGCTAAATATGGTCAATGCTAACCCGTCTCTTGGTGTCCGCATGTGATCTGCATTCTTTCTGCCACCATTCGTTCACCATACCACTTCTTTGTCCATCATCTTAAGTGTGTACAATGAGCACACGACCATATTGAATCTGTTCGGGAGTCAACAAATGATGTCACATCGTCAGACGTTGCCTCGGAGAATTTGAGAGACTGATCGGCATGTCAAATTTTCTTTCTCGATTATTTCACAGATATTTGTTATATGTAAATCGACAGGTAATACAGACGCTGACAAAGAAAAAAAAATGAAAATGACCATCTGACTCAACCCCAGTTGGATACCTCAACGCCAAACCATTGGGGCACCTTCCTCCAGAATTCTTCCCTGGCCATGTCAACCACAGCCCCAAATTCTGATCTACAAGCCTCACAAGCACGATATGCAGCCTTGTTCTCCGTTCCTGGAAGGTCGTCCCTAGTTTGCATGAGCTCCGCATCCTGTATAGCATAGAGCGGGTCTGAATTCCGATTGCAAACAACCCCGTTGACGTCTCTGAGCAGCTCAAACGTGATCGCCTCGAATGCGACTTGGCAAGTGCGCCTGTCGTTAGCTTGTTCTTTATGGCGGTGAAGACACCATTCGGAAGGTTCGCGGCCCTCGAGCTCGTTCACTATGAAGGTAGAGAGGAAGCGAGATGCGTGTTCTCGTCCGCGGAGGACACTGAGTAGGTCTTGCTCGGATAGCTGGTGTGTTATCGAAGTAGTTGAGGAGGTGTAACCGATGGCTGCCTGACTGGGTGGACTTCGGGACAGATCGTAGAATGCGGATGGCAGAAGTTCGGTGGCGTTGATCTCACGGGCTAGTTCAATGACCAGGCTACCATAAAATTAGAACTGTAAGTCAGGCGGGCAATTAATACACACATGGGATGCGGAAGAGCATGTCGAGGTGCGTATACTCCAGTGGCGTCGGTCGCTTTTGCTTCTCTCAACTCCCACTTCGACAGAGTAGTTGGCCACGAGACTGAGAGACCACGGAGTGCTTCTTCGCGAAGGCAATTGACGTGGTACTTGGTGAATAGACGGAGAAGCCCAGCCACGGTAGAGAAGGAAGTTCCGTCATAAACCAAACAAGAGCTACAAATCTCAAATGAAATGCAGAGCAAAGAAAAAAACACGTCGATCGTACATTCCGTCGTACAAAGCCTGCAGGAAACGACCGAAGTCATCAGGCGGGTCTTGAAGATGTAGCACCGGACGGCCTTCAAGCAACCGTACATTTTCAGGCTCGCCACCATCGAGGGATTTTTTGATGAGTTTCCTAAGAGTATCAGATCGGCGTGACAGGACACCTTGATGAACCAAGCAGTAATGTGATCCAGTTAAGACGGCCAGGTTTCCATCATCGAAGCAGATGTCTGAAAGGCGTGTTGGACCTTCGACTTCCTGAGGTTTCGCGGCATGCCTGTTGGTGCTAAAGTCACTACTAGCACGCGCGATGTTTGTGACGTCCATGAATGTGATCGGCGAGTTTGTTTGAGACCGTTGATGGTGTCTGACAACGATTAATTTGGGTTTGTCCTGGACAGGGCCTTGAAAGTTGAAATTCCCTATTTCGTCTCGCTGGAAGAGGACCATGACTGACGGCTCACCCACAACCATGGACTTCTGGAATAATCTCCTCATCATGGTCATTATTCTTCATGAGGTTGTTCAACTTTATCAAAACGTGGTTCTGGCACCCTTGCGAGTCGGTGTCGGAAGTGGTGCGAGGTTTGGGGTATTCTTGGAGAGGTAAAGCTCAAGAAAGGAATATTACAAGTTGAATGGGACGAAAAGAGGCAATATGGATTTCCCTCCTTGTCACGAGTCCATTCGTGCCCGAATCACAAAGGCTAAGGCTATGGTCACTGGCCCCAGCACCGGCGGTCCGGAACCAACCATGCTGAAGGGCTTGGTATCATATATTGGTAATCACAGGATGCTTGGGTTGATGTAGGCAAGTTGGACATGTAGACTAGAGAACTTGTACATGACACGACATGAAAATAAGTGTAGTATCATAGAGGGGGATCGCGGAAGTATCCACCGCCGCTGAGTTTATATCTGTGCACAGCCACTTCAACATTTTTCTTGTCACGCGGACATCGAATCCATTTGCCTTGTCATACTCACCAGCCTATAGAACTCACTTCATCTGATATCCCAACAACAACAACAAAAAGTCATGGTTGACGCTACCACTCGGATTGTCCCCGGCGCGCCCCCTCCAGCTCCCGTATCTAAATCTCAAAAAAAGAAACGCAAAGCCGTGAAGGGCAAAGGTTCAGCTGAACCCGATAACCCTATCATACCCGATACCACCGCTGCCAGTATTTCAGACCCAAAACCTGATGCACCTGATGAGATTGAGGCTACTGTACCGCCCAACCATGTCGTTGCACCGTCCGCCAGCGAAGCACCTCCGTCTACAACGGAGGACGATATTGGCTACAAGCCGAGCCCTGTGGTCGACCTGGTCCATAAACGACTCAAGGCAATTCATAAAAAGACTGTGAGCATCGTCTTGCTTCTCATAACAAGGTACCCTCCTCGTCTTCCTGATCTGATTGAGTTTTCTTTGGTGCAGGCGCGGATATCAACGTACGGGTCAACACCTTCCGAAAACTTGAACGACGACCAAAAGCGCACACTGAAAACTCTTCCCTCGCTGGAAGCTGTCCAGAAGGAACTGGAAGAAGTGAAGAAGGCCATCGAAGTATGTACTATGACCTATTTACGGCACAAGGTGCCCGACTGACAGATGAAAAAACAGGTGCATGAATCGGAGCAAGTCCAAGAATTGACTTTGAAACGCATCGAGGCTGAACAAGCTGAAAAGCAGAGACTACGAGATGCTGTCACTGCTGCTCACGTTGTACCTTCCTCTCATTTCGCACCATCTAGATAACTGAAACCTTTAATCTTTCCAGGCACACCACACAGCAAAGACTTGCGATCTGCTCAGCTACCTTCGCATCCATTCTTTGCTCACTGCTGGCCACCCTGTCGCTCTGGCTCTCAACCTTGATGAACTGGAGAGCGGCGCGGTAATTTCAACGAGTGATATTTTACTCGGTGATGGCCAAGACCTCAAAGAAACTGTACTCTCTGGTTTCTTGTCTGGCGAGGGCCACTACGAGGGCGTTCCTTGTAAGTTGCTGTTTCTGGAATATTATCTTTGCTTTCGATCTTATATTCCACCAGATACCCGGCTTCACGAAATAACTCAATTATATCTCAACCCTCCCCGCATTTCTACTCCGGTCGTAAAAGATCCTGCCGAGGATCCACAAGAACTCGAGGCCTCGACCATTACCGAGCCAGAAACTGCCGGTGCTGGAGCCCCGGGTGCAGGCAGCTTCCATTTCATGCAAGAGAGTGAACTTGAGAGTGGTGCATTCGAAGAAAATGCTGAGTGGGTCGAGAGGACCGACGCTGTTGACGCCGAGGATGGTCCCGCGCAAGTGGAACCTAACGGTGTTGCCGTAGACGAAATCCCAGCCTCCGTTTCCGCACCTATTGACTGGGCTGAGGATGATGGTGACAATCTACCGTCTATCGCTGGTTTGCATGCAAAATTCGGCACTTCAGGATCTGCAACCCCCGCAGAGGCCACCCCACCTCCCGTCTCCCAGTCGGACGAAACAGTGTCGCATCTCCCTACGGTAAATGGGGCGAATGCCACTGCTATAGTGCCACATGAGGAGGATGACGGCTTCACACAGGCTGGAAGAGGTCATCGAGGACGTAGACTGCATGGAGGCTATAGGGGAGACGTGCGTGGTGGTGGATTCCGCGGTGGATTTAAAGGCGAACGCGGTAACTTCCGTGGTGGTGATAGGGGATTTAGAGGTGGATTCCGAGGCGATCGAGGAACCTTCCGTGGCAGAGGCGATGGCGACTGGAGAGGAGAAGGTCGCGGCCGTGGACGAGGCCGTGGTACGTCCAAATTATTTCCCACTAATGATTCACTTCTTATACTTTCTCTATAGGCTTCCACGAATCACGCGGCGCGCCTTTGTCATAAAATCACAGGTCATCTACCGTCGACACACCTAAGCTTCGCTTCAACGTTGGGACCGGCAGCAATAAAATCGCACTTCTTGATGTATACCGTCATATCAACCATCTTTTGTGATCATTGAGCGTGCATTGACGTCCAACTCTGTCGTTTTAAATTTCCTGATTCGCGGATTTTGAAGTGGCAGCTAAGCACTGTATTTCATTCTCGGACCTGATCCCTTTCCTTTGCGTGTAGCCAGTGACCATGTTCCTGGTCTTGAACAAAGTCTGGGACCATTGTATGCTGCGAGAATGATCTGACTAGGGGTGGTTGCTATCAACGATGAACGCTTGGGCTGATAAGGAACGAACGATTGTCTTATAGGGCTGCGAGAGATTAGCTTGGCGCACTAAAAGATGCTAATACGCGCGGGAATGATTTTGAATCATTCAGAATATATTGCAACACCCTTTCGTGTGCGTCTGCTGTCTTAAGCTCAATGTATGACTATTTCAGCTTTGCAGCTGCCAACACGGTGCCAGCCACAATGGAGGTATGGTGCCATTCAATTAGCAGCCACTACTTGTTGGGCACCAGTATAGCAGATGGAAATAAGTAGCTCTTTCGCAGCCTTGTCAAAATGAGTTATGTAGATTATGTAGAATCCATGGAAGGAACGCTACCGGTCACATTATTTTGATGGTCTTCTTCCTAGTTAAAGACCCTAAGTCAGTTAAAAGGCTTGTGTATAAAGCCGGTCATCGCGAAATTGTTCCTTATGTTCGCATGGGGAATTGAACTCCGGTCCTGTTAGTATAGTGGTTAGTACTCCACGTTGTGGTCGCTTACCAGTATGGTAATCATAGCTCCGTGGTAACGCAGGCTCGAATCCTGCACAGGACATTAGTTTTTGATCCCTTTATTTTACTATTATTCCGTCAAAATTGTATATTACTTGTTATTACACTACAAAACCTGACAGTCCTCAAGCAGATTAGCTTTCAAAGTGGGTTTCAAAACCCAGTAAATACATGTAGCTCATATAATTGCTATTAAACTCTTGGCACCCCTGTGTTACTAGTCTCGTCCCCACTCGGGAGGCGCTTTTGATCAAAACAGAAACGAAAACGAAAACGAAAGTCGAAGCGGCGATCAAAACGTCCACCGTGATACTTCCTAATGTTTGCATCATCTGAACATTGAAACAGATCATTGATCGCTTAACATCAACGTTTTCTCTCCCTCATTCTTTTGGGTGCTGCTGAAGTTCGAAGGGCATCTTTGGGAGGAAATGAACCCAGTTATATAGTACTGAACACCGTAGCTACATACAGAATGTTACGATACGATACACTGATGTTGGATGGATTAGATCACAGAGTCCAGGACGGCAGAATTGGGATGCTATGGAATGGGGGGGTGTGGCTGAATGACGAGATGGCGTGAATAAGGTGATCCGGTGGTGGATGAACCGGAAGGACGAGAACGTAAACCCAAGTTGTCGACCATTATCTGTAGAAATTAACAACACTGAGCCTGAGGAACATTAAAGTGATTTATGATTATCGTTTCGCTATCGGTTGGAGTAGAAAATGACAGGGGTATCACGAAACTGGGTGGGCGAGGACGGTATTGATGCCCGGATGGCGCTCTGCTTCCTTCTTGAGCCGCACAACGAGGATTGTGACATTGTCAGTTGTCGATTTATTAAGAGCGTAAGAGAGAAGGATCTTGCTAGCCTCCTGAGCGTCTGGAATCTCGCGTATGAGATCGACGGCTTGCTGATCGCCGGCTACATCCCAGAGCTGGCGGAACCATCATCAGTAAAAAAGCAAAGCAACGATAACAATTCGCTCACCCCATCGCAAGCCAAAATCAAAAGTTCATCTTCTTCGCACAACTCGGTCTCCGTAGTATAGGGCGATCCCACCACAAATTCTTTCATGCTCGAGTCTCCCAAGCTCCTCGTAACAGCCAAAACGCCATTAACTCTGCCACTCATCACAAACCCTCCGGCATCCGTTATCCGCTTCGCCTCCTGCTTATCCGAGCCCTTATGGTCGTACGTCAACCTCACAGCCTTCCCAGCTCGACAGAGTACGCCTCGCGCATCACCTGCATTAGCGCTATACAGCACCCGTCGCGATGCTGCCGGGGGCGTGATGATAGAGAATCCGTTCGCTTGGTATGGGCCACGCTCGAGGGTTGCAGGTGACGTTGAACGAGGAGTTGCCAGACCCGACTGCGAACTTGAGCTGAGGCTCTTCAGCGCCCTTTTGATCCTGCTTCCACCGTTTGATTTCCTTGACTTGAACTTCCTGGAGTCTCTGGGACTCTCTGAGCCGCTCGTATGTACGCTATCGACATCCTCATCCTCGACTGGCATCTCTGATGCGTCTATATCAGGCAATGTAGGAAGAAAGGACTGTTTATTGTCTGCGTCCTCGATGCGGAGGAAGGCGGTCACGGCTGTGCAGCCGGAATGGATCTTGCCATCTGATTCCTCGCACATTCTGGAAAGGTGTGAGTCGACATTATGGAAAGTCTCATTAAGGATGTCGGGAATAGTCTTGTTAGGTGAGGCGCGAAGAGAATCGAGTAAATACTGTGGCGTGCGATGAGCAAAAGTTGGCGTGTAAAGAAGTGTAAAGACGGCGCACCTCGTGAAAGTGGCCACCACACCACTCAGCAGCATGCTTGCCGGCATGTCCGTCAAAGACAGCGAAGAAACCCTGACCACGAACGCCCGCGTAGTCGACCACAAAGGAATGAGAATCTTCCATGTATCGTCTTGTACCTTTGTCCTCCGACACGCCAACTTGATATGCATTGTTTTGTGCAGAGTGACAGTTCAGGGCCTAGATATCCACATCGTCAGCGAGAGGGATCGCAAGATCAGACGGTGCAGTACTCCGTGAGTGTCGATACCATCAACTGTGGTGATCGACTTGGACCACGCATTGGGTGAATCAGCAAAACGGGGTGCTGGTTGCATGACGGTATTTGCGTGCCTTTGGTGAGAGATGTGTGAGTACGAAGGCAGAAAATCGGGTAGATAAAGCGCACTGAGATGGAACAATAGCTAGCGCCGAAGCTGTATTATAAGCGGGTGGCTATGCGATGAGGACAAAGACACAAATAAAACGGTAAGCTTTGACCACCTACAGTCATCATTCAGATCATTCAGATATGGATGGTCAGCCTGAGATTGTACCATTAAAGCAGCTGTACGGTGTTGGTTAGTTAGGAATTATGTTGATAGCAGTTGTTGAGACAGAGGTGGAGACAAGGACAATAGTGACGCGCCGTATTGTTGGAGCACTGCCTGTTCTGACTCGAACCCTTCCTATGACCTTCAGCTAAGCGTATGCTATACAGGTTGAGTGGACGCTATTGCAGCTCCTGTCTATTTACAGAGCTGTACACGGTCTGCAAGCATTGGGAACGATGCAAGGCGATACCCTCCAACGGCCCAACGGTAGTTCGGAGGGCTTATGGCTTACTCACAACTATCCCCATCCCATAGCCATTCGACTTTCGCCTGTGACTGGATAAGAGGCCTCGTCGGATCTTAAGAGTACGACATGCTGGAACTATCCTACATCTGTTGTGCACCAAGCCATTTGCCCATCGTCCCCTCGGCGTTTCCTTACGTCCGACGCCGTACGCATCTACGCAATCTGATTTTACAGGGTGGTTCGGCCTTCATATCACATCACCCTACCAGCCCGCGGTACAGAGATTTATCAGAATGTAGACATGGTCCCTTTCAGGAATATCGCTTGTCCCGTCCCTCGCAGGTCTGCAAATTCCCTGAAGGAATTGTCCTTGCGGTGAGAGCAATGCCATGCCGACGCATTGACGCGAGAAAAACAGGATCAAGCCTTGGAGACTGTGAGGCTACGTTTTGGTCGGGATCGATTCAGAAGTACTTGACGAGACGCAGGCCCGGTCAAAAAAAAGTCAGGCTGGTTTGCAACCCAACTCGGTGCAGCAATTATATTTACCCCGCGTATGTAGTCTTTTTGAAAAAATACCTTTCCAATAATTACCGGAGAAGGGCCTGGAACCTGGCTGTTCAACTTCTATCCAGCCTATATGTGGTGGAAAGCCTCCGATTTTTACTCCATTATATGCGTATGTTCTGTTCTAGTAGTGTATCAGCTGGGATATATATTGAGAAATCCAGCTCTCCGATTGGCTGCTCCACGCACAAATTTCAGATATATATTGACTGCTGATACACTCTTTTCAAGAGTTTAATTTGATTAATTAACCGACTTCGTGATTGAGGTGCTGTAGTTGCGTGATTTCTAGTGACTCCGATTAAATGCCATAGATTGCCAAGATATCCGGTCTTGCGGCCGGTCAAAGGATCGATATTGTACACCTCACGCCTCTGTGTACAAGGAAGAGCAGCTGAATGAGATCATTGGGGAGATTGACTCATGACTACCTTGGTACCTATTCCGAAAACGGAAATTTGGACCCTGTGACAACTGACCTGTTTTGGTTTATCAGTTTGAATCAACTTCTGTCCTTCCCCACTCCCATCTTCCTCGGTCTGATCTCTGGAACTTACTCGAGGGGAAACTTTTTTTATGTCATCTCAATCAACCGCTGCTAAGCCAACGCTTCAAGGGGTCCGTATTAAAGCAAGAAAGGGCGCTGTGAAGGCGCAAGCCAAGCACGAACCAGGCGGTACGTTTAATAGACCACTTAAAGCACATAGCACACTTACCGTGGGGTTTATTAGCTTTCCGAGACCAACTCTACAAACATCTCGAAACTGTTCCCGAAAACGATTTTGATTCTTTCACGACCAAACTAGTTCAAGCTGGCGGTACTCTCGAATTCCTCAAATATGCAGATGCGCTCTTCGAAATCCTGCTCGTCGGTGGTCTTATCCAACCTGGAGGTAGCTACGTCGATGACGGCGCTCCAGTGTCGCCTTTCACCATCTTTAATGCGAATGAGCCGGCCGAGGTGGATGACATAAAAAAGTACATCGAGGTCCTCAATAAACTTATCAGGAGGTGCAGTTCACGATTAATGCTACTCTGAGTCGCCCTGATTCGTCTTCCGTGAAAGATACAAATACCTTCAGAAACCACTTGAAGAATCTGCTCTTCCGGGTCTCCTCCAGTACATTCATCGCTGGTCTCCCGCCCAGAAGGACAAACTGTCTATTGCGACTGGTCTATTGATCTCTCAGGGTCTCGCCAATGCATCTTGTCTCCAGGCCTTGACCAAAGACCATCTCGTCAAGAACGGCGAGTTCGTTCCAACATGCTCCCGTTAAGATATTGATGATGTTGCAGATGTATCTGTCGGAGTCATCACTCTTGTCTTCCGTGCCTACCTTATCGATCAAACCATGGATCACCTTTCAGGCACTCTAAAGCGCGGAGGCGTTAAGGACCTTCTCGCGTTCTTTCCGCCTGGCAAGCGCGATGCCAAAGCCCTCGAAGATCATTTCAGAAAGGAAGGCTTGACGCAGGTTGCCGAATGGTGGGCTAAGAAGCAGTATGCCGTCGTCAAAGAAGGTATCGTAAAGGATTTGCAGGAAATGAGTGAACGCGATGAGCCAACGGATCAGGTCAGTAGACCCATGAGGCTCAACAACATTTTGCTGACCTGATAATGGTTAGATCATCGCTTCGATCAAGAGTAGGCAGGATGAGTTGCCCCTTCCAGAAGCCGAACTCGTTCAGTGCATCTGGCAAGGGCTCATGGCCTCCGTAGACTGGAGTGCCCGTCCCGATCAAATTGAGAACCTCGCCCTACGCGAAGTCGGGGTATGTCCCATCGCGTGCTCACACGCGAACCAGTCATTCAATTTTGAATGCTTCACAGGCATTCGCCCCCGTCCTCGAGCCGTTCTGCAATGGTCCCAAAACTGA